ACCAAGAACAATTGCGTCAACGGCAACTGCTTGCGAGAACAGCTGAGTCACGCGAACTCTTCTCCCTGCGTGACGCTACTGGCCGACGCACAGACAGCATAAAAATTAACAACAAAATCATTCAACAAAAACACCCAGGGCAACGCAGAAAGCACGAAAATTCAAAGAGTAAGTTACTTTACCTCAGACTGGATAACCGTGCATCACGTCGTATCGTGTCGAACGGGAAATCAGAGCCCGGTAGCGGAGAGAAGCTGAAGAGGTCCGCATCCCAGGTGTAAGGGCGTTACGGCTGACCGGAACTCCGATCGCCCTCTGAAGAGACGCGGCGAAAATGTCGGGATCGGCCGCCCAGAAATATCCATACTCGGGTGTTGTAAAGCGGAAGCAGGGATCTCGGGAAGATGGTCCCCATATTGATACTAAGGTTCAGAGAGTTTTGGAAAGTTTGAAAGTATAAAAGTGAAAAAAATGAAAAGTTAAAAGCTTATTTATAATAAGAAGATAGGAAATGGGCCCAAGCCCATTCAAACGTCCATTTGAGCAAGACGGGCTTATTTAAAGCAATTTGGAAGTTCAGTATGCGGCTCGGTATACTTTTCAGCAATTCCCCTTAGACGTCGCCGCATAAGGGCCAAATCATCAAACTTGCCCAATTTACGCCTCAGGTAAGTTTTCTTTCAAACACCGTATCAGCGAAGGGTATACTTGAAAGGTTTAGGAATAAAAACTTTAAGGAATAATAAAATTTTTCAGCAGCCTAAATTTTTGCTAAAATTCAAATACAAATTTTGGCAATATAAAAAAAAAATATAATAATAATTTTCAAGGTTTGGCTAAAAGATAATATTTTTTGGTCTCGGTGATGGGAATTTCCAGACTCGGGACAAAAATCTTTTGCCCTGAATGCAAAAAAAAAATTTTTCAAAATTTCAAGTTTGTGATTATTTAATCGCATGGGGGGGGGGGGGGTTGGGCCCCCCCCTAATTGGGGTTGGAAAAAAAAAAAAAAAATTTTTGGGCCTCCAACATCTAACAAAGGCCAAGACTTTTTGTACATGCAGAAAGTTGCCTCTTTCTTCTTGAAAAATATTTTTCAGGTCACCGGTGGGATGATTTCACGAAGCTGTTTGGGCCCCACCGAGCAGTGATGATGTATCACAAAGCCCTATTTGGTCTTTTCCCTCGATTCGTGATGATGGCAATTACGAAGCTGATTGAGTCAATCTTTCTCCGGTTAATGATGATGGATTGTGAAGTTGATTCAAGGACATCTCTAAAACCTCTAAAGCCGATCAGACTGAGCTGAGGAAGGTAAACAAAAGCCGATCCAGACTGAGCTTTGTTGTTTAGATCTTTTTCCTCGATTTGTGATGATGCATTACGAAACGGATCGAGTTCTATATCTCTCTCTTCTGGTTAAATGATGATGGATTACGAAGTTGATCAGGACAATCTCCAAAGCCCTCTAAAAGCCGTCAGACTGAGCTGAGGAGGCAATTCAAATCATAATCCTTCAAGCAATCAGACGAGCCTGCGAAGGTATCTTACAAAGCATCGACTGAGTTTTGGAGATCGAAGAAAACCTTGAATTCAACCCTGGAGCCAAACAAAGCGATCAGACTGAAGCTTTGACGTGAACCAGATGAATCAAATAAAATTCAAATCAAAAGATCCTTAACGAGCTAATCAGACCGAGCCCCTCGAGGTATCTCAAACCAATCAGACTGATGTTTTGAGATCGCGTATCGATCCGAGCTGGAGCCAACAAAGCCGATCAGAACTGAGCTTTGGACGTGACCAGATGATCAAAGACAAACCATTTCATTCAATCAAGTGAAGGCGCGTCAATGGATCCATTTTAACATTAATCGTTTAACACAATTAATGGATAAAGTGGGGGGGCAAACTGTTGACGCGTGTTCTTTAGCCCCCACCTAAAACCCAATGAGGATTACAAGGATGCGGAATGAAGGGTTACGGGCTATCCAGAAGTCTTTAATGCCAAGGGATTTTAAATCTAGACTAATTTAATAAGGTGTCTAGCATTTGCATAATAAAGCTTGCATCACGCAACTATCAGGTGCGTGACGGCACTGACGGTTTTGCGTCACCCCAACCTCCAATCTAAGATGACGTCACCGTGAATGCCGACATAAACGATTGTTCATTCTGTTTTAAGTACGTGGCAAAGGTTAGAAAGTAAGCTGTGTCCACGCCAGCTATCGGTCCGTCACGGCAGCTGTAAAGGTGCGTGCGCAAGCTATCCCTGTTGCCCTACTTGTATAAATATAAATCGTTTTGTATCTCTTATTCGTGGACAGAGTTTTTAGGGCGTAAAACACAACACTTTTGCGGTAGGTTTTTCTCCAAAAACTTCTTCTGAGTTCCCTTGAAGAAAAATAGCCATTAGAACATCAATTAGGTTTAAAACGAAAATCATAAAAAAGAAGAAAAAGAAAGGGAGAAAAGAGTGAGCGTTAAAACCTGTGACCAAAGCTTCTGGAACCACACTTAACCTTCCATTCTTAAAGGCGTTCAAGCTGTTTACATCCTCAGTCTGAGGTTAGGTAACTCTCTTAAAACCTTCTTTGTATTTTTAGTTATTTTTTATTTCCTTGTTATTTAATTTATTATTGCTTTAGTAAAAGTTTAATCTTAGTTAAATAAACGTAATTGTCTGTCACTCTTGTTGTTTTTAGAGGTTGTTTTTAGATCTTATTAGAGCATGTTCAAATAAAAGAAAGATGTAAATAAGTTGTTTGAAAAGTAAGCACGGACCAGAGCAGTTGTGTCACGCAGCTAGTAGATCCGTCACGGACCTGGTTGCGTGATGGAATTGTTCATGTCCAAAATATCGTTTCTTTACCCAGATTAGTTGCGTCACGCAGCTGTCAGATCAGTAATGGATATGTAGGTTGCGTGACGGAACTGTTCATATCCACGATTTCATTTTATTTTTTTAATATTCTATTTTAATTATGGATTTAAAATATACGTTTGATGGATCTAGAGTCTTAAGAACAGTTAGGTCACGTGACTATTAGATCCGTCACGCAACTGTTCTTCCAAGAACAGCTGCATGACGCAACTGTTCTAGGGTTCCAGAAATAATTTTTGTCCTGGGTTCTCAGAATATTTTTGTCCTTTTTTTAAAAAAAATAATAATAATTTTGTACAAAAAAAATAAAATTTAATTCTTTTAATAAATCCGAAGAACAACCAATTGTTGGCAGATTGCAATTTAATTAAAGTTTAGAATACTAAAATGTAATTATGATGATTTTGGGTTTTGGTTTCGGGTAAAATTTTTAATCGGGTAGAATGTATTTTTAGGTTTTGGTTTTGTTGGCCAGCCTTTAACCTATAAGGCAAGAGCGGGTCTTTTATTTTTTTGTTTTAATTACTTTTGTGTGGATGATTTAGATGATTATGGATGTGAATGATTGAATTTAATTGAATTGAATGGGACGATTAATCAATTTTCCACATAGGAAATCGGTCGAATTCAATTCGGGTTGGGTTTAAAGGTAAATAAATAATTTGGTTTTTTTTCTAATTAAAATAAATTAGAAATTGTAGGTTAAAAGAGGTCGGTTTTTCCGGGCTTCGGCTTTCATGGGCCGGACGTAACCCAATTCCCTTACTCAGAATCGCCTTGGTGGGGCCGGCCTGAACGTGTTTTTAAATAATTTGGCTTAAATAAGTTTTAGGTCCTAAATAGAGTCATTTTTATAAAATAAAAATTGGAAACGGTCCCATTGCCGAAATTAAATGGTGGTGACTTCCAAAATGTTTTATAAGATCGATTTATCGTCAATCGTATTCAAAATGTTTTGTCACCACTGTTCAAAGTAAGATCATTTTCCAAAATCCAAAAACAAAAAATGTTTTATAAGATCGATTTATCGGCATCGTATTCAAAATGTTTTGTCACCACTGTTCAAAGTAAGATCATTTTCCAAATCCAAAAACAAAAGCGGAATGTTTTTTGTGTCGCTCGGGGGCGGTGCGAAAACAATGTCTTATCAATAAATACATGGCAGGTAAACCGTCTTGGGAGTGTCAGAACCATAGTAGCTCTTTGGTTATCTAGAAAGGGATTGTGCTTGGGAAGTAGGTTGTGGATGTTGGCCTTATGAAGGATGTGCGAAACGGGCTAGGAACAAAGTTTTGGACAGAGTCTTGGTTGCCTATTAGCCCTCTTATTCATCATTCCCTTACTCTGGTTTCTTATGTTGATAAAGAGCTTGTGGTTCATTAGTTGTGGGTAAAGGGACAAGGTTGGAACTGGAACTTGCTTCGAGAGAAGCTTCTTGCTAATATTTTGGAATTATTGCAGCCTGTGTGTCTTAGTTCTCATTTAGCAGATTAGGATTCTATTGCTTGAAAATTTTCTTCTAATAGTTTGTATTCGGTTCACTCGAGTTATGCTTCTTGAGTGCAAAGCCCCCATTATGCCTCGTCTCCTCTTTGGAATTACATATGGAAGGTTCGGTTCCTCAACATATGCAAATTTTTCTATCAGAGTTGTCTCATCGAAAAACTAAGTGTAAAGTGGAAAGGAAACGTTGCCGTTTCACTTCGGTTGATATTTGCACCATTTGCCATAGGGACTCTGAAGATATTCTCCATGCTTTGACGGACTGTTTGCATACACGAATCCTATGGGGTCAACTGGGTGTTGGATCTATTTTTCCAAATTTTTCTCTGAGGAAAATGTGCCTGCTTGGGTTTTTGCTAACTTGAGGGGCACAATTCAGTTGGTGCATGGTGTTTCGTGGGATGTTCTTTTCTTAGTGGTAGTCTAGGGGTTATGGAATTATCATAATAAGCGAATTTTTGAGCCTATGATAATGGTTAGCCCGCCGTCTAAGGCTGAGGTTTTGAGTAGAGCTGTGGAAATTCATAATGCTTATAGTCGGGAAGGGGATGTGTTGTGTGGTTTTGGCCAAAGTCGGCTATCCTTTGTTTCATAAGAATCTCCTCCGACTGGTTGGATGGCGGTTAATACTGACGACTGCTCAAAGGGGAACTCGGGCCCTAGTGCCTGCACTGGGGTTTTTCGTAATGAGCTTAGGCGTTGGTGTGGTTGGTTTGAGCTGAGTTTGAGCCGTTGTGGGTCTTCAGAGGCAGAAGTTTGGGGTATCTTCAAGGCGCTTTTGCTGGCTTGGGATAAGGGTTAGCTGTAGCTCATCATCCAGACTGATTCACAAGCTGCTATTATCCTGAGTCCTTGTCCGAGTTCCTCCCGACTGTCTAATCTGGTGAGAGAATGCTCTGAGCTGCTTCTTCGTCCTTGGCATGTTGAGAAAGAGTATAGATAGGCAAACTTTGTGGCAGATTGCTTGGCTAATGCTGTTGTGCGGGACCCTTTTCATGCGTGTTGGCTGCAGAAACCTCCTCCTTAGGTGCAACATTATCTCAATGCTATCTGTTTTGGGGCAATATGTTTCCAGAGTTATTTCTTAATGGGTTAAATCCCTCCTTTGTATTTAAAAAGAAAAAATAAAGATCTGTATATGCACATACATTCATTTTCTAATACACCAAGTAAATAATACTTCCACTATAGCCAACCATTCGGAAAAAAACTCTCACCTAAGCAACGAAAAAAGACCATTACCCTTTGATAGGGTTTAGTTCATGCCCTAATGATTACCACTATCATTATGGTTCATGTTATTTTTAAACAATTCAAATCACTTTTTCATTTCTTTTCTTTTATCTAACAGTAAGAATATACAAATTAAATAAAATAATTTTTATTTTTTACTTAATATATATATTGATTTGGGGTTGGGCAACATGGGTTAGGGATTGAGTGATGACTTGATTTCTTTTTTAAACATTTAATAGGGTTTCAAGAATCTGCATGTAAAAATTAGAGTTATTTGAGTCCACTTTGTTGTATAAAAATAAAAGTAAGTACATAAAAATAGCGTTACAAGTAATTTCTAGATAAAATGCAATGTAAATTAACATCTGTATTTATTTTAATATAAATAAGAACTTATGCTTTAATATTATATAAATAAAAAAATTAAACTAGTACAAAGAATGAGTATAATCAATGTGCAACGCACGTCATAAAAAGACTAGTAACTAACAAAAACCACAATGAACTGTTGATTCTATTTTTTGAATTTTAAAACTTTTTTCTATAAATAGTTGATTCATATTTATATTATATTTGGATTGTTATAACTTTTTTAAAAATTGATATTTATATATATATGATCATTCTATTTATAATTATTTTAAAATAATAAATAACTACAAAAAAATTTAGTTAATGTTTCTATTTATACAACATTTTTAAAATAGAATAATATATTACCTTAAAAATAGAAAAAAAAATATATAATACATATAATAATTTATGAAAGTAATTACATCATTAATAGACATTTTACATTTTAATAGCAACTGCTATTAAAATTTTAGTAAACAAACAACATGAGTATGGTTCAGATTTAAATCAAAACCAAACAAATACCTATCCGGTCAAATTAGCATCAAACTTGCGATCAATAGTTTCTGGTTCTAAATCATAACTAAAAGTATACATTTATATTCCGCTTTTAATTCTTCATTTTTTGAAATGGAATCAAGAGTTTTAGTTAAAAATTCGCAGTTCAAGTTTGAAACCATGGAAAATTACTTTTCAAAGAAATTCTTAATTTATTTATCTATTATATTATAATTTTTTAAAGTAAAATTCAAGACTTATTATTATTATTATTATTATTATTATTATTATTATTATTATTATTGAGTCAAGCTATAAAACCAAAAAAAAAAAATATCAATTTCAGTTCCATATCAAAATGGAACCAAAACCGGTGGTTTTAAAGCCGTCTTAGAAACAATCCAAAAAATAATTTGATTCCAACTCCAGCCTTAGAAACAATTTAGAAAATAATTTCCTTCCAACTCCAACCTTATTATAACTGGAGCTAAGAGTTTTAAAACTGAAATTGACGGTTCCGAACCGTAATCATATATAATATGAATTAAAAGTTATAATTCAAATTAACATTTCACTTAAAATGTCATGTTTTAATTTTTTTAAAAAAATAAATAAATTTGGGTAGTTACGGATACACAATGCCCAAACCCCATTTATCTAAATGGGTTTTGATAGTTATTGAATATCGAGAGTCTTAATCTAAATCCACTCAAGCCTGTAACAAGTACTAAGTTTATATCTGTACCAATTTCAAACTAATATATATCTGTAACAAGTACAATATTTTGTTACTAAATATATATGCAATCAGTATACTCAATATATATATATTCAAAAAATGTGATTAAGTGCAATAGTTTGTTGCATGATGAGCTTCATTTTTTTCAAGAAAATTTTCATAATTTTTTATTATCTAATATTAATACAACTCGTAAAATAATGGTTCTTATATTTTACTTAATCAGCAGATACATTTTTAATGAATATTTTATAAATTAAAATATTTAAATTATGCAATTTTATAAATCAATGTATCAATTACGATGTTGATGTGTAATTCAGGCATTTAGCCCTTTCTGATGAATCATTCTACCTGGCATATTCTTTTTCTTTTTTTCATTCCGCCCCTTTCAAGCCTGACTCCCTGCATGGTCCAAGTACAATACATGGAAAGGCCCATTTAGCCCAACCTTGACCAACAGTGGAACAAAACCAATCCGAGGCTTCCCATGTTTTATTTAGCACTAGTGATGGAATCCACAGTGCATGAGTAATATTAAAGGATGAAATAATTTTTATAATATTATTTAATAATAATAAAATTATATAAGAAAGTGACCGTAAAATGTATTGTAAAATTGTGCCTTTTAAATATCCTGCGAAGTCTTTCACTAAGGCATGCAACAGCAAAAGTCATGTATACTGCATAAAAAAATGCACACACACTATTTCTACAAACGATAGTACAACTTATAACAGTATCATTTCTCATTCTTATTTTCATCCATGTGGCCTATTTTTGAACCCGTGTGTAAGTCCCAATTGGTAGGGCAGTTGAAGGGTATAACCTGGCCGAATTCTTGAGATATCATAACCGGACTTAGATTAGTGTAGTATAACCGGATCACTATCATTAAAATCTATGCTATTTTATAAAATGGATCCTTTCATATGTAGATTAAGTAGTAGTAATAAATCGGATGATTCTGCATCTTCAGAATTTAAAAGGATTATTAGTAGCAATGAATCAAATTTTAAGGATATAAATAAAGCTATTAATGAAAAGATGATTTCTACAGTAATTGTTCCTGATAAAAATGATTTTAAGATCTCTACAGTAAATGTTTCTACAGTTATTTCTACAGTAATTGTTCCTGATAAAAATGATTTTAAGATCTCTACAGTAAATGTTTCTTCAGTTGCTAAAAACCTCAATATTTTAACTAAAAAAGATATTGAAAAAGATTTATTAAATGAAGTATCTAAAATAAAAAACTTAATTAAAATGAAGCAGATTCTAAAAACTCATACTTTTGAAGAATTAAAATCTGAATATTTAGATTATAGACTAAATAGGCAAAATGAAATAAAATTCTTTGATTGGTATAACTTAATTAAAGAAAAAATTCAATCTCATGTTTGTAAACCATATCACAATTCACAGTCTAGTAAACAAGAATTTGTCATTAAAAGATCAATTAAGTAAACTTGAAGTGCATTCAGCAACTACTCAACCAGTAGCTCTTGACACACCTCAAGCATCACGAAATATAAATAATTTAGAAAAAACTTCTAATTCTGAACTTAGTGAACCAGAATCAGAAGATGTAAAACAATTTGAATTAAATCCAATAAATCATCATGGGGAAATAGTAAATAGAGCTCCAGATTTAGGTATAATTGATAAACCGAATACCATAAATCAATTTAAATATAATGCTTCAACAATTGATAAACCGAATACCATAAATCAATTTAAATATAATGCTTCAGCTTTATAATCATCCTTAGAAATTAATTCATTTCTATTAATAATCCTTTGAATTTTTGAAGATTCAAAAACATTCGATTTATTACTACTAATCGAGCTATATATATATATATATATAAACTTGTGATTTTTTAACGAGACGGTTGTCATTTGACAGTGGTCCGGTTATACTAAACATCAAAAGGAGTCCGGTTATGATATCTCAAGAACTCGGCCAGGTTATACCCTTCAATTGCCCTACCAATCGGGTCTTACACACGGGTTCAAAAATAGGCCTCTTACTGTATCTGATATCTCAAATGGACCTTAGATGTATAGCTCAGTGGTACCATATCAAGACAACCTATGATATATTATAAAACGAAGTCTTTATATGTATACCAATGAGCAGATCTAAATCTTTTGGCTCTGATACCAACAAAAGCTTTAAGGACCATTTAACAGATCTGAATCTTATAAAAGGAATAAATTTAAACGAAGTAAATGCTATGATGAAATTATTTAATATTCAAACTTTTAAAGATCAAACATTATACATACAAATTAATTTAATTAAAACAAATAAATTTATAAACAAGGTTACTGTTCAAAATTAAACTTAAGAAATAGGTTTACTGTTTATCTTTTTTTATATGAACAAACAGTTACTGTTTAAATCAAACAAGCATATAACAATTTATTTCTGATGGTGGAAGATCACACTAAGGTGCAACCACAGAAGCAATACCTTATACGACATACAATTTTACGCAAGAACAAGATTTTTATATGGTTTTAGGGTTCCTGCAACCTAACCGGGATCCCAAAGAATTAAAGTCAGAAGTGTGGGAGGGAGAAGAGAAGGATGCCCTTCAACAGGCATTTTAATAAGTATCAATTATAAATAAAATATAAAACTTTAATTTAATTACAAAGATAAACTTTGATTTACAAAATGGAAAGACATATACAAAATTTAAAAGATTAAACTTACAAAGTTAAAGATCTTTATAAACCTTGAATCCTTACAATGAACGTTTGGAAGGAGAGGAGAGAAAGGTTTACTTAACTAAGCTTTTCGGGCTTAGGAATTGCCCTTATAATGTGGACAATGGCCTTTCACAAAGAGCAGAGGCTCTCTTTAATATAAGAAATTTAAGAATCTTACTGTGTGCTTTTTACTGTTGATGAACAGTGACTTGTCTGGAATCTTTACTATTCACCTTTTACTGTGGACGAACAGTGACCTGTCTGCCACCGAATCTTGACTTTTACTGTGGATGAACAGTGGGTTGTCTGCCAGTATGTCTTGACCTTTACTGTGCAAATAGTATTTGGCCTTTACTGTAGAAATATGTGGATGAACAGTGGGTTGTCTGCCACCTGTTTAGTTGGAGATAATATCTTGGATTTTTATGAGATCAAATTTGAAGGAATAAGGTTCCTTCTGCCTTATACAAGAAGATGAGGACAATGAACTGTCTGCCACTGTGTCTTGACTTTTACTGTTGATAATAGTAACCTGGCTTTTACTGTTGGAATAGTAGCTTGGCTTTTACTGTGCTGATTAGTGGTTGACTCTTCCTGTAGCTTGAATAGTACGCTGTCTGCCACTTAAACCTTTACAAAGAATCTTTTGACATTTACAAAGATTATTGAAGGAATGAGGTTCCTTCTGCCTTTTATGATGAGGACGATGAGTTGTCCTTCTTTTTACTTTTTTCTTTTATCTTCACATTTCTTTTCTTTGATTTATCTTTTGACTTTAATAATGGAATATCATCATGAATTGCACTATTGCCATGTGAAGGTGAAGGTGATGATGATAATATAATTTTATCTTTTTCTTTATGCAAAATATTATTGAGACCACTTGGGCCTATTATATGGGCTTGCTAATATATTAACGGATTTGATAATTCTACTAATTATACTGTTTATAAAGCGTAATGAGGATACTATTAAAATAATCATGTTTTACAAATCATTTACATATACTACTAGTATGTATACTATTGAAAAGATTGGATTTTTGGCAAATCCACAGCCATTAACGGATTTGATAATTCTTTACCGTCTACCGTTTGAGACGGAATAGCCATACCATGATGTGTTTTTAGGAAAGTATTATTTAAAGAAGGAGTTTAGAGGTTGAAGAGAAAACATTGTATCCCTGAACTTCCTTTCCAAGTATGCTGTAAGAATTAAAAACTAGAGAGTTCCAGAAATACAATAAACAAAAAAATAGTTGTACAAATACCAAAAAGTTTAATAATAAAACTGAATATGATAATCAGAATAGTCCAAAATACTTTATAAATGGAATATGAATATTTTTTATTCGGGAATATTATAAAACTTTTGAATACGGAATTTGTTACAATAGAAATCAAAGAATAACTAGAAATACAAAGATACTGTATAATACAAAAATATTTTATTCGGATGAACTGGTTGTTGTATCAAGTTCATCAGATTCTATAGACTCAGATTCTGAAGTGGCTGAATCGAGATAGAGTTTATGAATTTTTATTAATATTTCTTTTTCTAATTTTAATGCATTTAATTTTTTATTAAAGCGACAAAATTTAGAAGTATGACCGTTTTTACCACAAGAAAAACAAGTTAAATCTTTAAAAGAAGTTTTACCTGAAGATTTATGTGGTTGTTTCTTTTTAGGAGTTTCAGATTTATCTGAAGGTTTTCTTTTACAAACGTTGGACGTATGTCCTGGTTTACCACAAATATAACAAGTTATATTTTTATAAGAATTTTTAGATGAAGATAAATTTGGATTTATAAGATGAAGATAAATTTGATATAGAACACTGACCACTACAAGGTTTGGTAGAAGTCATGTCATAACCAAATTGTTTACAAAAAGATCCTAATCCTTTTTGAGTTTTACTCATTTCAGATTTTAAATTTAATTGAATCTTTAAATCATGACAGATTTGTAATCCTGCCTTTTGAATGATACTAGTTAATTGACCATAAGTCAATGTATCATACGGGATTGGATTACCAAACTGTTGTTTTATAGAATTCCGAATTTTCTCGCCTAAGTAGAAAGGTAGTCCAGCTAAGAACTTCTCTTTCCAAAAGGCTTGGTTTGAATCTTCCCTTAACATTAATCTTGTAAGGAAAGTGGTTTTATATTCTTGAAAATCACTTAATAAGGAAGTGGTTTTAATATTCGTTGAAAATCACTTAATATTTTGACATTTAAGAATTACTTTATATTCACCATTTTTATCTTTTAAGTGAGATGCGTGCATTTTTATCTTTTAAATGAGATGGATCACCAATAAAATGAAGTGAAATAGTGAGAATTAAAGATGAAACTGCATCTTGAATTACTTCACCATTTTCATCATATAAAGGTTCACCTTCATCATTTATTTGAATTGAATTTAAGATTTCTAAATGTTGTTGGTTAGTGAGGTGATAATCCCACCAACCTTTTAATTGACCTGTAAAGCCAACAATTAGAATTTCTGCGATAGCTTTATCAGAGATAATTGACTGTGTTTTATAAGCATTTGCTGCCATTGTCATTTGTTGTAATATACTAAGAATATTATATTCACTTAAACCATCTATATTCCATTCATATATAGTGGTTGCATTATATTTAAATTGACTTATAGTATTTGGTTTATCAATTATACCTAAATCTGGGGCTCTATTTACTATTTCTCTATGATGATTTATTGGGTTTATTTCAAATTGTTTTACATCTTCTGAGTCAGGTTCACTAACGTCAGAATTAGAAGTTTCTTCTAAATTATTTATATTTCTTGATGCTTGATTGCAAGGATTGGGCCGTTTATACAGTATTTGAACAGTTTGGTAATAAAAAGAAACCAAAGTTCTAATGGATGGTAAATAAAGTTGAGGTGTCGCTATGTAATCAACAAAGAAGTGTCGAAATAGAGCCTTCTTAGAAACATCGGATAAAAACAGTGAAAACTTCATTTGTGCAAAATGGTTCGTAGAAATTATTACGAATGAGAATACATCATGAGTGAAAGCTCGAGTTTCCCAGTGGGATTAAGGTCCACTATAAATTCCGGATAAAGTTTTAAGAAGGTCCAGCCTTATCAATTTCGGTTATGAGTAATCAAATGAATAATGATATGGGATAAAATACGATGCGAGTAGAGTAGAATGTCAATTGGATAATATGAGAGGAATCGCCAAAATGTAGGCAGCAAACAATTTTGGGTGACATGCTCAGGTGGCACCTAAAAAGTAGACATGTGGCATGGATGCAAGAATCAATTCAGTTCTATCCTGAAATTGTGGCAACGATTAATCTACAGAACAATGAAAGCGGAGCACCATTTTTCAAGAAAAAGTCAGAAAGGTGTTACGATGATTTTGTGCAGTTAGCAAAGGAAATGTTGCCTGAAGGCCATTCAATGGTTGATAATTTTTATCGGACAAAAAAAATAGTTTGGGGATTGGGACGACCCGTTGAAAAGATTGATTGTTGTCTTAATAATTGTATGATATACTGGGGCGTTGACTCGGAATTCAGAGACAGCAAGTTTTGTAATCTTCCAAGATATCAATGGCGGGGCCAAGGGACTAGTAGAGTACAAAGAGAGAAGGCTTTCAAGAAGATGTATTATTTCCCTCTTGTTCCTCGCCTTCAAAGGTTATATGCATCCCTGCTTGTTCCTCGCACTTCAAAGGTTATATGCAGTCTTAAGGCGACAAAGACATGAACAACATGACGATGGCATGGCTTTGCATGAATACTGAGGATGGTTAATAAATGACTCATCCTGTCCAGACTTTCTGAAGCTTGGAAACATTTTTGATAACAATTCATCCTGTGTTTGCTGCTGAATATGAAGAAACGTGAGATTTGGGAGAAATTTGTAACTGAGTAGGGTTTCAGTGCCGTTTGGGACCATCAGGACAAAGCATATTCATCCATGGCCTGTCTTGTCACACATAGTAATCTAAACCACCGTCAATGTGTATGAAAGATGGAATATATGTTTTTGTGTGTTATTTGGTTAACTGGCCCTAATAATAACCGAAAAACACAAAAATTGATGTGTTTCTTACAGCCTTTGATTGCCCGAGAACTGAATTATTTAATGGGGAATATGGGTGTTGAAACATTACGATATTTTGCGACCAATGCAGAAGATATTTCGACCAATCAGAATTTCATAATGTGAGCTGATTTGCTCTGGACCATCAGTGATTTTCTAGCATTTGGAATGTTATCTGGGTGGAGTACGGCAAGCAAATTGGCTTGTCCTAATTGCATGGAAACACTAATGCATTTACACTAAAAAATGGAGGCAAACAATGTTGGTTTGATTGTCATCGTAAATTCTTACCAGAATCTCACCCTTGGAGGAGAAATCGACAATGCTATAGAAAGAACACGACTATTGTTGAACCCCCTCCGCCTGTGAAGTCTGAAGCTGAAATATTACAAGAAATTGAAGATCTGGGGCTTATGAAAGTTATAGAGTTAGGTGCAGATGAGGCAAATGCAAGAATTAAGCGGGTTGGAAAGCCGAAGCATCTTATGGGAATTACCTATACTGGAGTTCACTTCTTATCCATCATAACCTTTGATGTGTGACATTAGAAAAAAATGTGTTTTGAAATTTCTGTTACAACATGTATTGACATTGAAGGGAAACCAAGGATTAATTTGCAAAAGCGGAGCAGACATGGAGGTAAATTTCATCATCACCAGAACTCGAGCAATCTATACTTGAAGTAAGTTTTCAAGGGCATGTTATTGTTTAGATACCCAAAGGCAATTAACTTGTGTAATCGGGTACGATCAATAAGGTTTCAGATGGATAAATGTTCAATATGGGTAGATGATGTGGGACATCGGAAGTACAGCATTTGATTTAGGCATGAAAAGCCATGATGTTCATGTTCATGCAAAAGATTTGATCCCTATGCATTACGACGAGAATTAATTTCAGGAAACACTTGGAAGCAATGAAGAATTTGAGTGTCTTCTTCAAGGGAATTTGACAGAGCGAACTGTTACTCCAATGCGATGATATTTGAACTAATTTAACAAACAGACACCCAGTAGCTGACTATGCAAATTGAGTGAATTATTTCACGTTTCATTGATTCTGATGGAACATCTGCCGGATTCATCTTGCCTATGAATGTCGTGTAGCAGGACCGGTTACATATCGATGGATGTATCATTTTGAGAGGTAGATCACTAACATTCCCATTTCTAATTTTCCCTGTTTTTTTGAACTCATATACTATTGGCATTGTACTAATGTAGACCGCAGAAAATTTAAAAAGAATGTAAAGAATGTGCGCAATAAGGCAAAGGTCGACGGTTCAATTTGTAATGCATATTTGGTGGAAGAAGCTTCCACCTTCTGTTCACACTACTTTGAACAACATGTTTTCACCAAGCATCGGAGAGTGCAACATAACAATGATGGAGGAGATCGAATAGAATCTGAATTTGAAGGAAATCTAACAATTTTCACCTATCATGGGCGTACGATTGGTAAATAAAAAAAAAAGATGATTGACTAATGCAGAGATACGAGCAGCTCAAACCTATATTTTGTTGAATTGCGAAGAGATTACACCATTGGTACAGTAAGTATACATATTGTACACAGTCTAAACCCGGTGTAGGGTGTAGTTAAATCATACTTATGGTAATTTGGTTCGTTCATAAATAGGAAATATATCAATCTTTTGCGGCAGTCAAATCCTAATTTGACTGATACTGCAGTTGATGCAAAACTGGACTCCGAATTTGCAGAATGATTCAAATATTATGTAAGTTACTTTCAATGTGTACCACATTGAATGTACATTTATAAATCTCACTTCGTGTCATTACTTATTCCCATAGGCTCGAGCTCGGGAATCGATAATTTGGTAAACACAATTCATTACGGATCTAGACAAGGGACCTCTACTGGTTGCTAATGCCTACTCTGGCTACTTTGTAAATGGTTACAAGTTTCACACTGAGGGTTATGGGAGAAGCAGAAAGACAATGAACAGCGGCGTTTGCATGAAGGGATCAAACTACAGTAACGTGTCAAACGATTTTTATGGAAAATTGGTTGAGGTTTTAGAGTTAGAATATTCAGGCCTACCAATGAAGTGCACAATCTTATTCAAATGTGACAAATGTGAATGGTTTGATCCTATGCCAAATGTTGGCATGAAGGTTCATCCTAAGTATAATCTTGTAGATATTAATCATAGAAGAAGATATACGAAGTAAGAACCTTTTGTGTTGGCGAGGCAAGCTGCGCATATGTACTATGTTCCATATCCATCATTGAAATGAGATTGTTGCGATTGGATGACAGTATGTAAAATCAAGCGTAGAGCAGTTGTTCATGCAGTTGAAACCAAATAATCTGCTTTACTCGCAATATCTGAGCCATTTCAAGTGCAAGTTGTTGAAGATTTGACGAATAGACTGGATGATGAAAGCGGAACTTACGTTGAAATAGGAGCATCAGATGATGAAGAGGAAGAAGATCAAATCATCATGGGTACCTCAGAAGATGAAGATCAAGAAGATGAAGAAGAAGAAGAAGATGATGAAGACAGAAATACTTAATGCATGATATTGAAGGACACTAACACTATAGAGCAGTATTACTGTTACAAATAGATAATGTATATCTAATTAATATTATTAATGAAGAATTTCAAGTTATTAACTTTTTTTTTCATTATTTTACCACATGTTCTACAATTATATAATTCTGTATAAACTCATTTATCTAGGTTTATATGATATCTGCAGTCAGATGGCTTGAGAGAGCGTTTGATTCAGCGCGTTCGGCAGTGGTTTTGCGGTGAACGTCGTGGCCACAGGCGAGTGCCGTGCGACAATTGGGGGACTATCCCTTCCTTCATATTCTTCAGGTACGTTGGGGTTCCAGGTACGTCTGGGGCTTCATCCTCTGCTCAGCGACCAGTATTGCCACCATCACTTCCTTCTTCAGGTACGTCTGGGGCTTCATCCTCTGCTCAGCGACCAGTACTGCCGCCATCACTTCCTTCTGCTCCTTCCTCTTCTACCCCTATTTCTGGACCAATACAGTCTCCACCAGCTGCACAGTCACCTACTGTGTAAGGTAATCATAAATGTCATTACTGTTATTTCAATTATATATTAATATTTATCTGCATTTATAGCATTTTTCACTTCTTTGGCAGCTTCATCAGATCCATGTATCAGCCTCAGTTTGGTAGCGGGACAATAAGTACTTATTCACTTTTTCCAAAGGCATGTTATGTTTAGATTGTGATGCTTTCGAACTGAATTATATTTCACTTGTGTTTTTTTTCTCAGCATATATCCATCTTCTCGAGCATCGAGGCAAATTATAAGGATAATCAAGCTACAACTATAAAGAAGGATACACATGAGATGCCGTACCACAAGAGGCGAGAGACTTTTATTGGGAGGAGTTTCAGGTATGCTTTGGTTTAAGTTATATCATCATTCAATGTTTATAATTCATCAACATACCTCCTTAGTATTGAAATGCTATTTTTCATTTTTTGCAGAAGCATTTCATATGGGACGAGGCAATTACGGTTATGCTGAAAGTGGCCTAGGAGAAGTTATCCGCTGATCGATATGCTGACTTCACCTGTAGGATGAGAAGAAGTGGTAAGAAGCAGCAGTGCGTGTGTCAGGAGATATGGGAGAGCTGGCAACAGGCTTGGGAGGATCCTGCATTCAAGAGAAAGCGGTTGCACAAAACAGGCGCGTGAGACTGGCGTGAATGGGAGTAGGACCTTTTCTCGACCACAAGGAGATCATATCTTTACTATAAGAAGCTCGATTATTAGTAAGTCAATAAGTCACAGTATTATGACAACTGATGTTTAATGAATGGACCACTATATATTATTAATATTATATGCATAAAATTCTTTACAGGCAGCTAAACAATGTAGGGGGAGGGCGAGGGGTGCGGGGAGGGGGGTCGTGAGCCAACACGGAATTGGAGGTGTGTACATACAACTTCACAACGAGGGACCACGATTTAATTACCGTTATGTCGACAGACAGTGCGTGAGCGTCAATGTAAGTAACACATGAATTAATATTTACATTCTACCTCTACTCATTGCGAAGATGTACCAAAGGTTTCGAATATAATAAAGCTTGCATCATGCATTGATTAATAATTTTTTTTCAGGAAAAACTATATACAGCTCGGGAGCATCTTGGTTTCTTCTCAGACTGATGAAATCTGACGTTGAGTCGAAGAATTGACGAGGTAGCACTTTATCTCGAGGCTGTTAGGGGGCAAGAAGAAGAGTAAGGTTTTGTACGGCATTGGGTCTCAGGCATCATAGTTTTACTGACGGCTCAGCCGCTCAGCGTTCTGCAGCCAGCGCAGGGACCACAGCCCGGAGCACAGTGCCGAGGAAGTTTACTGAATTACGGGCTCGTGTTGATGATCAGCAGAGACAGATTTGCAGACTTAGAGAGGCATGATTCATGCGGCTGTCGGTCAGTTCTCGGTGTGGTACATCTTCCTCTGATTCCATAACCTACTACAAGATCGAAGTTCTCGAGCGTCTCAGCAAGCAGCACTAAACGTCTCCTGTCCCGAAGCAGCAGCCACTACCGTCTCCTGATCCCGATGCTGCAAACGATACCTTGGTCACCCCTCCTGGCACTACAGCACATCCAGCAGGTACTCCTCCCGCCGATTCGACATTGGATCGTGCAGATGAGCTACTACGTAGATTTGATTTTGGACCTTTTTAGTTTTCCAGTAGTTTTTTTGACATTTTGTTCAGTACAATAATAATTACATTTTATTATTGTTTTTGAGTTGCGTTTGTGATATATATATATGCCAATTTTCACAGGTGCAAAAAAATAATGGTTTTATAATAATATTTATTTTTTTTAATTTTTTTTCATTTTGCGACGAGCACTCTTGCGACCGATGTTTATTGGTCACAGATCGGTCGCTAAATTGCATTAGCGACCGATTTCTTGCATTTTGGGACCGATTGGTCGGTCGCAAAATGCCGTTTTTTTTGTAGTGTGTGACCAACAGCTTGCAACTCATCTTTTAGTTCCCTAGCACATTGAAGATAGCTGGAGATAGATAGGTCATTTTTCTTGAGCTCCTGAAGCTCAATGTGAATTTTGATTTTGAGAGATGGATCCAAAAGCCTATGCTGATGCTTGCCAAACTTAATTAGAGGAATCTAATCCAATAATATAAGGAAAAATTTCTTTGGTAAGAGAGGAGAGAATCCAATAATGGAGTAGTTGATCCTTTTTTATTCAAGATGCATACTTTGGGTTAGGAATGTCTATGGATGGTCAGAAGAGGACTTGATAATTTTTGGAGGTAAGGGAGATCCATCAATGAGATGATTTAGGTTGAGATAATTCAGAAGAGGGAGGAACTGTGTTTTCCATGCTAGGTAGTTTATTGGGTTTGAGTTTCATAGAAAATGAGTGATGAGCACCAGATGGGTAGGAAGAAATGGGATTGGTTGTTTCTGTCATATTGAATGCTTTGATACCATGTACAAGCAATAAAATGAGAGTGAAGAATGTTTATATTGCTTGAA